CGAGCCGAACACGAACGCACTTTTTGAGCTCGAAATATAGTGATATTTTTAATTTGATATGAAAGACTCAAAAATTTACGTTGGGATGTCGTAATCTGATTGCCTTTATTTTAAAATTAGTAATGTATAAGAATACAAAAATTAATAGTCTCTAATAAACTAACAACATATCTGATAACCCTATCTCCATCTTGTTTGTATTTGCATGAGGCATAGCTCCAACGTTCCTAAACCCATTTTGTAGCCATTCCTCCATGTTTGAAAAGGTGTAGGGTTAAAGGTGTAGCTATTATGGGTTTAATGATTTGGCATGTACAATTTTTTAACTCTTATTTGTATTTGCTTGCACCATTTTAGTTTTGTTGTCTTCATAGTAAATAGTTTGCTCCAAATACAAGAATTCTAGCCATTAGTTTATTTAGGGTTGTTTTTTATGGTTTTATATCAAAGTGGTATTAATTTTATAAAAAAAGATTTGATTTTTAACTTTGTGTTTTGTTTGAAGTGATATTTGTATTTATCAAGGCAATTTTTTTTATAAAAGAGTTAGTCAAATGTCTCTATTCTAAATCATATGTTATTATTCAAATGTGGAGCTTTTCAACATGTAATAGTTGTACTCTTCTATTGGTTTACATGACGGTTGACCTCGCTCATTTTTGTGCAGCTCGTGGCCAAGAAATATGAGCTTTACCTATTGATGTATTATTAGCAACTTATCTTCTTTTTTATGTATTCCTTAAACAACACTACCTTTTTCAGATCTCCCATCATACTTGTTTGTTTTCAGGAACAATGTGCTTGTAATGATACTTAACAATTATGATCCATGAATGTTTAATGATATTCGACAGAACTAACATTGCTAAGATGTTAAATAATCCGAATTTGAGCTAAGATGATGTAGTCTCCAAATAAATTTGGTTTGTAACTTCCAAATAAATTTGGTTTGTAACTTCCAAATAAATTTGATCCAAAATTTGGCCCGTACATCAGCGTGTTTATTTCAACTCGAGTTTCATGTGCGAGTCAAACTTAGAATCAATTTCTGAGTGATTGTCATATTTCAAACTAATTCCTAATTCGGATTAGGCACGTACCACAGGATTTGAAAATTCTAGATTTGCAGGATTTATTAAAACTCATTCAAACTAATCCCACTTCCAACCGAACTACCCCTTAATATAAAGGCCAACATTTTGCGCATAGAACATTACAGGTCTCATCACCATCTTATAAAACCAACATTTTGCGCATAGAACATTACAGATCTCATCACCATCTTATAAAATTTTCCTTCAAGTTTAAATAGTATTTTCTATCACACAATAGGTCAGATGCATTCCTCCACTTCAACCAACCAACTTGAAATCTACTATGCACATCCTTATCTATATCACCTAAAATTTGAACGAGAGACATGAGATATCTAAGACGTTCACACCTTTTAATGCTTTGATCACCTGTAGTTACAACTCTGCCACTATAGCTACTACCACTAAAATTACATATCATGTCTTTAGTTCTAGATCTACTCAAACGAAGGCCTTTAGATTTCAATGTTTACCTCCATAATCTAATTTTTTTTTCTTAAACTCTTTTCGTAGTCTTATCCACAAGAAGGATACCATCAGCGAGAAGCATACACTAGTGCACATCCTTTTATAAATATCTAGTAAGAGCATCCATAACTAAAACAAAAACATATGGGCATAAAGCCAATCCCTGATGTAATTTAACTAAAATAGAAAATTATTTAGTTAAATCTCTTTATAGTACCTAAATCCTAAACCCTAAATGCATTCCTCCAAAGAAATGAAAATAAAAAAGAAAAATGAAGAAGAAAAGTTGCCTTCCTCGATCATTTTGGATAGGAGGGGAGTGGAGTGATCACTTTCTGATCACTGTAAATCGTGTTCCCGTCGATGTGTTCCCAACTAGCTTTTGTTGGGGCTATCTTGCGAAGGTTCGGTGACAAAAATGATGGTTTTGGATGAAACAATGAGGGGGATGGAGGGCGATTAGAGGGTTGTAGGAGGAGAGGGTTTCGAGGAGAGAGGAGTAGGTGTGGGAGTTGATTAGAGCAAGAGGATGAGAGCCACGAGTATGGCGATAAAATGGATTATTTTCAATGGATAATAAACGATTAAATTCATCTGTTCTTAACACTATTACTGATGGAAATTTCTGTCATTTATTAAAAAAATGTGTCGGTTAATACCCGTCAGATGGCAAGTTCGAAGATAACCGATGAAATATTACTGTCGGTTAACTTTGTCTTCTAACTGACGGTTTAATGTGTCGGTAATAATTAAAACTGTTAGGAAAAAATATTATAGTTGATGAGTGATGACTTGTTCAATAATTATGTCATCGCAAATAACTCAGATTATAAACAATCGCTAAACCATCAAAAAATTGAACATTTTTTCTAACGCAAATTGAGGTCGTTGGTTTTGCCATCGGTTTTTGTATTTTTTTTCCTGTAGTGTTATGACTGTCCTTATTTCAAGAGCTTAGGGTTATTTTCAATTTTTATGGGGTCATGCCAACATAGATTAAGTCGAACTCTGTTGCAACAATAATGACTTACGTTATTTTTTGTTGGTGGATGGGGATCCCATGTTTGACTTACTTATTCAGTCGCTTGTTTTCCTTCCATATAGAGTCGATGGATACAATCAGCTTGGGCCAGTCGGTCGATTCCAATTCCTTGGTTTGAAAAATAAGGTAAATGGATGGTAATAAAAATTTTTCATTGCCTCGTTGTTTGAGAATTGGGAATCAAGACTATATCGATTGGTGATGCCTTCAAGAGAATAAAGGGCACTGACTATCCCAGGTTAAGGAGTTGGTATCAACGATCAACTACTCTCAGTTCCTAAGTGTATCAGTCTGGTAACTTTGAGTTCGATCCTATTTCTTGGAATTCTTGGTCTGATGATGACTATCTCGTGGGGCTTCTCTGATGCTACGGAGGTCATTTGTGAGAAAACAGTCAATGCTTAGAAGATCAAAAAGATGGCCATGGATGAGGCCAAGACAAAAGAAGTCTCTGAGCAAGAAGCGATAACGACTAGAGGGAGGCTAATCAAAGCTCGTGGCAGAGTAATCGGTTCAATATGTTGCGATTTTCTTTTTTCTATTTTTGCAACCATAATAGTGATCCAAAAAAATTTAACTGGTGAACGGACCATCATTACAAGAAGTCGTGTGGTTCATGCTAACTTTGATACATATTTTTTAGATGCAGATTTTTTTGGTGGGCAAGAAGTTGTGGGGGGGGGGGGGGCGCGTATGCCCCCCCCGGGGGGGGGGTGTGTTTG